AAAAAAAAAACATATAAGGGAATAAGATAACACGGAATTAAAGGTAATGACAAATTTTAATAGTCACCGTTATTATGTACTTGCATAATACATGCTTACATATGTATGTATGTGGCTATTTACACAGAATATGCATGAAACACATTCATTTACAATTATCGAATGGTAATGGTAATCAAGTGATTTTATTCGTGCAGAGTTATTTTTTATTCAGTGCTTAATTTGTTCGGTTTCGGTTTCGATAGTGGTGCAACCGAGTATTGTATCTATAATTAGTAAAATGGTAAAATACTACGTGCAAAAGCGTATATAAAATTAAACTTTATTCTTTTGGGTGCTAATACACATGCAAAAAGTGCATAAATACATATATACATATGTATGTACATTAGGGCAGGCCAATTTTTTTGACTATGCGCGTATAGCATAGGAGGATTCCGCGTGCAATTGTAAAAAAATTTACCGAAGAAATCAAGGGTTTAAAATTAATTTGGAGTTTGCCAAATTGCGAAAATAGGTTTCGAGTAAAATGTGAAAATTTTTACTGTTTCACCCTCCGGTGGAAGTTTGAAGAAAAAGATAAGTGCAAAAATGACACTTTAAGCACTTTCTTACGACACTACATCAAAGCGCTAATGGAACCTGTTTTCGCAATTTGGCAAACTCCAAACTGAACTCAGGCCTATGTTTTCTTCGGAAAATTTGCTTAGAATTACACGCAGACTCCGTCTATGCTATACGCGCACAATCGATAAAATCTCCAATACAAATTGACCCGCCCCAATACACATAACTACACGCACATGCATATTTAAACAAATGCATATGTATGTATGTATGTATAAATACATATGTGCAACTGCGACAAAGGCAATAAAGTTAATTGTAAAACCTCAACTAATTAATTCAATTAAATTAAATTGTGAATTAAATGGAACTTCCAGCTATGCAGGCGATCAAAATAAAGTTGAATAAAAAGCATGGCGTGCAGGGTGGGATAAAATGCGATAAGGCAAAAGCGTTGCGCGTAAATTGGCAAAAAATTGTACATTGAGTGCCAACAAATAGATTATATAATCCGGTTAGCGATGTGCAACACAAATTGGCGACTGCGTTTCCCGCTGCAGCGAAAAATGTGGAAAAGGCAGACAAAAAGTGTGAGCGGGAATGTTTTTTTGGGAAAATTTTGTAATATCGGGCCCTAACCGCCAAAATAACGTAAGCGACATTTTTTTTTTTAATTTTCTTTTTGATGCAGAAATGCATCTTGATGCTCTAGGAATATTTGCGCATCAAAAAGAAAATTTTGAAAAAAATGTCGCTTACGTTATTTTGGCGGTTAGGGCTCGACATATTTTTCATCAACTTCCCGATGACCCAGAGACTTGAAACTTCACAGTTGGCTCATAACCCGAAGACAATGCAATACGAAAGGTGAATTAATCCGATAGGTGGTGCACGGGTCGAGATATTTGATATTTACTTTCCGATTTTGTTCATATTTAGGACGTATATTGATTACATGTAAAGAAATAACTCCACTTATAACTTTGTGTGCTGCCTCATCTTCAGGGTAATTTTTGATTCTCCTACTAGTTTAGAAAACCCGCATGGCGTTCAAACACCACAAATGAATTTAACTCTTTAAACAAACTTTAAAAGTATTTTCAAACTAAAATCTTTATATATCTCTTTCGTCTGAAATTGGGATACATATTTCAATTAACTGCTGAATTAAATTCAATTTGATTTTTCAATTAAGTGTCAACCCACTTAAATATAGTTTTGAAATAAAGTCTTTCCAAACCATTTCGGTTGATGCGCATACATGCATTGGGATACATATTTCAATTAATTGCTGAATTAAATTCAATTTGATTTTTCAATGAAGTGGCAAGCATCCTAAATATAGTTTTGAAATAAAGTCTTTCCAAAGAAACTCGATTGATACACATCTTTTAATAGCTCATTTCACCTATTAAATAATTAAAAATAAATTTTTAAAACCGGTTGCAACTCTTTCCAAATACTTCGAAGATATTATAGATTGCTTACTACTATTTCGCTTGATCCCCACATTTTAATAAAATTCGGATTTTAAAACAGGTGGCAACCCTGTTGATATTTTATATATTGTAAAAAATTTGCTGTACCTAAACTTTATTGACTGACTGTAGGTATTCACTGAGTTGAGCAAGTGGACTAGCACTCTGGCTACATTCTAAATGTACACATCTAAAAGAGTGTGTTTGTACAAGAATATACGCTTTCCCTTTCAAAATTTAACAAACTGTGATGAAATTCATTGACTCTGCGTAAAGCAAAAACTCTATTTAGCTTACCAAATAGAGCGTAGAGTTGTCGTAGAGTTTCCGATCTAGTTGCGATGGACTGTGTACACGGCGAAAAAATTTCGCTAAATAACTTCTGAAGAGCAGGATTTCAGTGCCCTAGTTATCCTCGAGCACGCCGCTCCTTCTAAGCTATTTTGTCAATCAAGGAGTTGTATGAAAAAAGTATAAACTAAATAAATGTTTAGTTTTGACCGGCTTGATCGGCGCAACTTTTTAGGCGCTCAAAAAATCACAAAACTTCGGTGCGTACTGTGAAAATACTATACTACAATTCCTAGTTTTACAGATGATGGGCAAATTGTTCTAAACATTATTATTCTATGAATCACGTGCGATAAATAAAAGAAATAAATAAACTCATGCTCTAGCTAAAAGATAACGACTGAGTGCAAAAAAAAATAAATAAATGCGAGTAACACATATTTTATTTTTTTTTCGAAACTCACCTGTCTGCGGTTGCAAATCGATCAAATGATTCCAGATGCTGCGCGCCGACTGTGTATAATAACCAATTTCCGCATTTGGATGCAAACCAAATACATCCGGTTTATTGACGAGCGGCAACTTATCAATGTGAGCTGAAACACACACACTCACATACATCCACATACACGCAAAGATGCAAAGATATATGAGAAATGCGATTGAACAAAATTGCTTGTTATCTTTATCTGTTACATTCGCTACTTTCCTTCGCCTGGCACTCACCTACAAAATCTTCTTTCAACACTACATCCTCCTCTGGTATGTGGTAGTCCACGTTTTCATCATGATAGAAATGGAATGGATTGAAGGTGTCAAAGAGGAAATCACCCATATATTCATCCATGTAAATGCGTGTAATGCGGCGATCGAAATCATCGATAACGCGACCGCCGTACATGACCTGCAAGTATGTCGAAATGCATTGCATCAATACATACATATGCACACAAATACGTATAAATGAGCAAATAATTTTGAGATTTTTCTACTTGTGATTTTTTCCAATCAAAATAGGTGCATAAATATTTAAAAACGCTCTCATGTATGTTTTTTGCTAACAGTATTGTATATGTAGTAGTTTACTCACCTCTCCAATCAGATATTTCAAACTGTTCCATGGCACTTTTCCAGTCTCCTCGTTGACTTTGTTTAGATACGTTGTCAATATTTCCAGACAGACATCAAAATCGGATTCATTAAAATCATAGCAGATATTCCAACCCATTTTATCATACTTCCGGCGCTCCTGTATATCATAAGTGATATATATATAGGTGATCGGGGAAATCATAAATATGTACTCGTTCAGACTCACCTGCACAACCGCATGGAAGAAGGCCAAGACGTAGACAAGTGGACGGAATGCCTTAAGTGAGCATGCTTCTAAACGTTCCTGGCGCATTTTTAAAAATGTTGAGCGCAAATTTAACTTTAAGCCATTCGGTGGCTCTGTTACAACTGTGCAGAATTCGTAGAGGGTTAATAGATACGATTTATATGTTTGTAAGATGCAACTAACCTTTTAGTGATTTCTGCAGTATGCCAATTGGAAAGGACGGTGTCGGATCAGTGGTTATCCACAAACGAAAATCTGGATGTGGTGATTCGATTTTTTCGAGATATTTCTCTAAGGAACGTACGAAGCTGATGAGTAGATGACCATTTTGCAGCATCAACCAAAAGCCTTGGCGAATTGATTTGTCAAGTAAATTGATAGCGTTCTATATAAAGTAAAGGGTATATAGTAAGACTCGCATTACATTAAACAATTTCTTAATCATTAGGCTAGGGAGGGCCAGTTACTACTGCAATTCGTCTACTTTTTTAGCTCATTAAAGCTACCTAAGTTTTTTTCGTTTCGGTGTTGTTGTTGTAGCGGCTACTAAGCCCCGCTCAGCTTGTACGTCAACGTTGTCGTCAGGCTAAGCTAAGAGGAGGCTCAGGAAGTGTGAAACTTCCCCTGGGTCTGGTTATAGGGACAGTGGCGCTAGCTGGGTGGGTGATTATTGTGGCAACTCTCCTCATGCGGAGCACTCATTGGGCGCATCAGCATTCACTCTGCTCAGGCATGAGTTTAGCCTGCTGTAGTAGCCACAACGAAGTTGCGGGCTTCTCTAGGCAGACAAAGCTCTGTCACGTCGGGTGGTTGTGTGCCCAAAACGGCATTCACAGGTCGGAGGTCTATATAACTCAAGACTGACTCCCTGTGAATGTCGTTTAAGGCCTGTCGGTATGCAGTTGGCTCCAGAAGTTGGTTAATGAACCTCTGGACTTCGTCTGTCAGTTCGTAGAGATGCCTCCTGAAGTGCCTTGGCGAGGGTTCTTCTGCAAGTAGTTGTCTATTCGGGTGCCCACTTCTGTGTTATGCTCCCTGACGGGGAGCATCTGTGCCTCGTAGTCAAGGTGGTGTTGAGGCGACATCAGGAGGCACCCTGTCGCGGTCCAGAGTGCCGTGCTCTGGCATTTCTGCAGCTTCGATCAATGCGTGCTGCTAGTCCCCGGCGACTACACGGGCGCTGCATAGTTTAGGACCGGCAGGCCAATTGCCTTGTATGTTGCCAACAAAATTTTTATGGTGCTGCCTGCTAGCGACTTGAGGACCTTGTTGCAGCTCTGTAATCGATTGCAAATTGCGGCTGTATGTACCGAGAAGGAGAGCAGTCTGTCGAAGGTAACTCTGAGGATTTTTGGGTTATTTACGGTCGGAATTGGTTCTTCGTCGACGTGAATACCCAGTTGCAGTCTAACCCCTTCTTCCAAGTGGTAAAACGGGTTGCCGAGGATTTCGTAGGGGAGAGTGTTAGGCTCCTTGTAGCGAAGAAGCAAAAAAGCACGGAGTGGTAACCGTTTACTTTCCAACACAAGTCATCCATTCCATTATCAGATCCCATTATCGAGCAGTCTTCAGTATAAGAGATGAAAGAGCGTCCCTTTGGTGGTTGAGGGAGCTTCGATATGTAAAAATTAAGCAGCAATGTGGAAGGGACACCGCCCTGATTAATTTTCCTCGGTTTGCTGGTTTTGTGTCTGGAAATGACTCGCATAACTCGCTGACCACCGTTTGAGGGCCTGTGGGTGAGAGGAATCCTCAATATCTTCTAGTAGCGTGTCGAACACCTTTGACAGTTTCAGTGCGCTTTCGGGTAACGCCACGAGTTATCTGGGTATTTATAGCGTTAAGTGCTGTGCCATTTACGAAACCAATGCTCATGCCTCGCTGGGGTCAGGTGGTTTGTGTAGTGCGGGAATAGAAGGGCCTCAAGTGTCTTTGCTACCGAGGAAGTAAGGATTCAACCTCGACTTTGCTTTCATATTTATGTTCAGATTTGTGCTCGTATTCCATCTCGTCATCGTATTCTTCCAATTTTAGTGCTGTTTTTGTTTTGTTTTGGCGTCATAACCGTCGTTGTACTCGTCGTTTCTTTGTATTCCTCTTAGTATTCGTCTTTGTATTAATTTTCGTGTTCGTATTCATCCTAGTACTCGAATTCATCTCAATATACGTGTTCGTGTTTGTCATTTTCTTCGTGTTAGTCCCTGTATTCATCTTTGTCGACATATACGAATTTGCCTTCCTATTCTATCTAGGTTGGTCTAAGTATACGCACTCAACCTCGTCTTCGTATTCACATTCATATTCGGATTCGTGCTCGTCTTCGTATTAGCGTTCATATGCGCCTTCGTATTAGTCTTTATTTGCATCTCATTGTTCTTGTTACGCTTTGTATTCGTATTGGATTACATATTCGTATTCGTCCTCCTACTCGTGTTCGTAACCTACTTCGTATTCGTGTTCGTATTAGTCGTCGTATTGGTCTTTGAATTTGTCTTCGGTTGATCTTCGTCCTCGTATTTGCGTTCATACGCGCCTTCGTATTTGTCTTCATTTTCATCTACTTATTAGTCTTCGTATTTACGTTAGTCTTTGTATTCGGATTTACTGAAAAATTCTTTCCAATGGTGTTTCCAGATGTGTCCAGTAGAAAAACTAAACTAAGGTGGATAAAATTAATGTTAGCTTATTTATTAATATATTTATTTAATCATCGTTTTGTGCTTTTCTTATTTTCTAAAAATCATTTTTTAATATATTTTGTTGGACAAAGAAACGGCAACTTTATTAACACTAGCGTTCCGGATTATTTTTGAATTTGTATATTTTCGTGAAATATCTATTTAACCTGTGATTTCTTATATTTAGCTTACAATCGCTGCACTCCATCCACTCTGATACCCAAGAAGCTACAAGGTCGTTGGGATGCCGTCAAACGTTTTAAAAAATGGTGGTAGAATGCAGACAAGTCCTTAGTATGTTAGGAAGTAAACTTACTAGATACCCACGTTGAGTGAGTGTTAGACCGCAGAGACGTACATAAATATATGCTAAATGCATGGCAGTCAAGCTTGCGAAGAAGAGAATGTAGGAACAACTCCCAGTGAAAAGACCGAAATTGACTCCTAGGAGACTGACCACCTTCCTTTGATAACGACTACGCCAACCGAAAATGGGACGAAGATTTGAGGTCATGCATCTGAAATGCCCTGACTTAATGGCTGACTGCCATCATCGTCATCCAAGCAATGCGTTTGATGCGACAAAGTTTTGCGACCAGTTCCACAGCGGCCACGTCGAAGGAGCGCAAATTCGGTGTTGGATTTCTGTGGACAAGCGTCTAGCTACAATCTGAATCATAGCGAGATTCTTCAACAAGTCGCGATGGAAGAGAAACACGAGGCATCCAAGGATATCTTCTATGAGCGCTAACTCCTTTACGAAATCAAAGTCGTGTTTGGAAATTTCAATGCCAGGGTGGGAAAGGAAGAGATATTTCCGATTTGACGGCAAAACGTGCGATAGCGGACTGAAGCTGAGTGCCTAGAATCCAAATCGATCGTGTTGTGATAGACGGCAGGCACGCTTCCATTGTTTTAGTTGTAAACTTCGAGAGCCCAACATCGACTGGGGTCACTATTTTTTTGCAACTTAAAGAAATCGAAGTAGACTTAGAATCCAGCGCTGCCTACATTATGCCGGTTTGGGGCTTCTATAAAAGGTTAGGAAGGAAAAAATTGAATTGTGGCAGTGATAGTGCCAACCATTTTACGATGAAATAAAGAAGAAATAACAAACCTTCACATTGAATTTAACATTTGAAGGAAGCTTATTTAACCTGAGCAAGCGACAGTTTTCAGGCAATAATTGACCACGTCAAAAAAATGTCGTAATTCTCAGTAAACTGCCAACTTAGCAACAATTTACAGTATTTGATTCTGGATACGTTTTTCCTTTGTATTGCCACCCACTTCCGTGCTATTAGTATTGAAACTATGTACATATATGTATTTATTATTTTTATTGCCCACTCAATGTGGTATTTATTACGACAAGTGACATGTTTCTCTATTATGTCGCTTTAAGTCTACACCTAAGAATTGACATTCGATTGAGTACCATTGTGGCGGGCAACAATAGGGATTGGCATAATATTGCCAGTATGCGAGCTATTTTCGTCACTGTCCATTGTTTGGTTTATTGTCCGGACGCTATACGGACATGCTCGTAAATAACTACAATAACAGGGGCACACAAAACCAAGACGAGCGCGCACACATACACACACTAACACTAACACACGCTTAGCAATTATTTTGGCCTACTCACCTTCTCTTGGCCTTGTCCCAGTGAGATGTGACAAAAATTGCCCATGCCTACGCCAACCAAGTCAGCCAATTTCATTAAATCATTCGTAGGATCCGATCCAGCGCTGAGTATAAAGCAAACGGGCATGTTGCAATTGGTCTGCTCGTAGATGTTGGCAAAACTAATCACTGGTGGCGTGATGTAGTACTCATCCATGGTGTCCACGATGTATTCATTTATTGCACGGAAAATTCGATCGACACGGAAGCACCGCAGGAACATTAATTTCTATGCAGGTCAGTCAGCAGCAGCAGCAGCAAGTAAACAAGCGACGAGAAGGATGTGCGAATGTGCGTTTTTGTGGCAGGAAAAGAGAGGAAGAAAATTAGACAGGAATGGATAAAAATGAAAGTAGCATTAATATGTATGTATGTGTTTATTGTTGCATTGAAAAATGTTTTTTTTAGTTATACGTAAAAGAGAATGTAGTCGAGCTATGCAGCTGCCTATTTTTAGTGATTGGGAAGTTAAATCCGTGTGTTTGACGAGCTCAAGGATTATAAGAAACGTATCTAATGGCAGCGTGTGTACTTAATGGCGATTTTATATGCCATAGCCGCAAAGTTCTGTGCGGGTAAATATGTATACATCTATATATGTGTGGGAGCGCAAATGGCTTGGAAAATTTGTAAGTTATGGCAAAATTCCAATCCAAAAATTGTTCAAGTGACTATTTATGTAAAAAAGTAAGAAAATTCTTTAGCTAAACAAACGTATACATACATATGTATAATATACATTGTATATATACACAATACGGAAACAAAGGGGAATAACTGTGGAATACGCAATTATATTTACATATGTGATAGGCTAATCACAAAAAAAATCCATCACTTCATCATTTTTACTTTTTCTAATTTCTTAGTTAAAGAAATCTTAACATTTTAACCCCTTAAACACAGGCAGAGAGCGTATTTTTGACACTTTTTCAGATATTCATCAAAAATATCGGTTAGAGGGTTAAGATGCTGCACTAAAATTTCAAGCAGTAAATTTTACAAGGAGTCACCGCGTATTAAAAAGAAAACATCCGACTAAACCTGAGGTATCTATACATGATACGATTTTCCAAACTGGTTTCAACCGTTTTTTTGAAATTTTGATTTTTGAGTGCCCAGTAAACCGAATATTTCAAATCGAATGAACCGGGTTTAACGTAGTTTATTTATGTACGGAAATCTACAAATTACACATAAAATTTACTGGAAAATTTTCCACTGCGGAAAATTACATAAAAAATAAAAGGAAAACCGAAGGAAAATCTTTCACTCCTGTTTTTGTTATAACAGCTTACTAAACTGTGCCTAAATAAATAAGTGAATCAGACTATGTTGTCTTCATTGTTCAGGAAAACGGCACATACGACGGGTTTGGCCCGAAGGTAGAGGGAGCTTATACATATATGCTGATGTAAGTGGTCACGTGAAGTGATGGTTGGTGTCACTCCTCTTTTTAAATATGGACATATGTCACTCCTAAAACAGTGACAAAAAGCCAATTTTTTTCTTGGGCTCATGTCTTGGTTCTTATAAGGTCCCTGCAAACCAAAGTTCCCGAAATCTTAACGAAATTTTTAGGAGTATCTCAATTCTGTAACGATTTTTTTACGAATCTTCAAAGAAAATTATATATAGTGGTTGACACGAACTCGTAAAGAAATTTCTGTACGAAAAATATAGAAAATTCTGAAAAAATTCTACGAGAACTCCTTGACACACAGCAGTATTATTTTCGTTGCTTTACCGATTTTCTTCATTTTTTTCTCAAAACCGAGCGAAGTGTGTACAGTTAATTTTATTTTGGAAAATGCGGCCAAAAATGGGATGGGATCTTTACGAATTCCTTAAAATTTCTCCACAAATAAGAATACTCTGAAAAAATGGTTTGCAGCGGTGTCATAGCCCCAATTGTCACTTTTGAGGCTAAAGTATATTTTTTGCAACTCTCAGCAAAAGGAATGAAAGCATATAAAAATACGCTCAAGAAATGAAAAAGAAATTTTTTGGGCAGACCCGGTCAACTTCGTCTCGCCCAAAATTATTTTTTTTATTGAAACATTTGTTCCAACGTTTTCACCAACAATTCACAATTGGCGCTGTAACCACGTAACCGATTTTGGCCGAGTTCAAAAAAGCACTCCAGCGTTTCCTGTCTGCGCTAACTGACCCCAATTGGAAATGCCAAGTGAAGACTGAGATACAACCAAAATTTGTGTTAACATTGTAACATCTTGGGACCGTCTGGAATCTAACGATTTTGAAATCAAAATAATTTAAAATCGCACACACGGAAGAACAAAAAAGATTGAACAATCATGATACTCTCTTCTTCCGCCTGTCAATTTTAGAACTGGTTCGGAACTATAGAATTTAAGACTAGTTCGGAACTATCGAAGAAGAGTTGAAGCGGGGGGCAATTGACACTTCCAAGGACATCGCCATGTTAAATTCGTCAGTTGTTTGCATGCAAAAGATATTTATCGCGAACCAGTAGAGCTAGAGATTTTCCCCACATGGTAAGCTTAACTCAAGTTATACTACTTTTGAAATGTATTCGTGTGTATGTATTTATAAATGTATGTATGTATAATATACATATGTATTTATTTGTATGCGCATTGGCTTTTGCTTAGCGAACTTACCTGGAATGGATTACATTTCATGTTGTACTCGCCCGGACATGGCATTTCTTCCGGATTCTCCAAATCAAACCACTGTATGTGTAATGTTGTTGGTTGAACATACATACACATGTACGTATGCATATCGTTGAGAAAAGTATCAAATGCGAATGCGATAAGCGGAAAGGAAATTGAGGAGGGTTCCATAGATGAAAGTGATTTCCGGAAAGCAAGCGAATGCATGGCAAACATGAGTAAGCAATGAAAATAAACTTAAAGTTAACTGTGTCGTAGAAAGTAAATGATTCAAATAAGTATTTTTTGCGTATTAGGGCCGGTTGTTGAATGTCTGGTTATCAATACTTCCCGCACGTTTTCGACATCATGCAAATAACATGTGATCGATAAAGCAGTCGTTGTATTTAACCGAAGCTTCTACCTTCGATTCGTCCTAATCAGACATTGAACAAGCGGCCCTTAGTGGGATAGGAGTCTATATCCAATATTGTATATGTTTTTTATACAAAAGCTATTTGAAAGGTAGAAGTTGATAATTTGCATTTGCTTTTTTTGGCATTACCTGCTTCCATTCCTCCGCCAGGCGCCCCAAGCTATCCGGTAGCGCGCCGAATTGCTCCGGAAAATCAGCAGCCAATTTCAACAAATCCTCCCAGTTTTTATCGGCCAACCACTTGACCGGGCAGGCACGCTCACTCTTCGTCAATGTAATGGCACCTTTTATAAAGAAATCCAATTCAGTTTGCGTCAGTTCGCCACCACTTTTTGCAAGCTTTGTCGCTATCTGGAAGGAGAAGAGCAGTTTGTGTCGTTCGAAGAAGCCTGTGCAGCCATAAATGTAGACATTCTCTGTCAAAGTCTTTATTATATTGCTCAGCCGTTTAGCGAGCACTGTATCTGGCACAGATTTGCGTAGAGAATAGCCAAATACATCCAAGTAGGCGGCAAGCGCATACTGATACATGCTATTCACGGTAGACATATCGGAGAGTGCAAAGAATAGCACTGCGCCACGAATAGCCACCGGTCTATAGCCGTTACGTAGCTTCTCAATATCCTTGCTGGTCTCTGCCGATAGTTGTAGTTGTTCGGAAACTGCAGCCGCCTTCGTTTTGGTATTCTCCAAAGTTTCAATTAGCTCAACGTTATCCAGCATATTGCCCGTGGAGGTGGCCAATTCACGTAGTAAGGAGTCCTCCAGTTGCTGCAGCAACTGCTTGTTTTCGCTTGTCTGCGCTATGAGCGACTCACGCTGTTGTTCCAAATCAGGTCGTTCGGAACGTACCACAACACTCAACAGCTGGTCTTCTAGACCCGCCTGTGTGACTGTGTAGTTAATGACCATCGCTTTGGCAAATACGGCGGGATCAAATTTAGGATTGGCAAATTTCGTAGTCAAATATAAACGAAAATTTGGATCGAAGTCTACCTCCTTGTCGCCCAGTACAATGAATTTGCGTCCACTAACCACTTGGACATCCTTGCTGAGCACATTATCGATAACCGGATCGATATAGTCGTCGACATCTTCGAACAGCACCGGGTAGCCATACATTAATGCCATTTCAAGCTGCTTCAAGAAATCACTATCGGAGAAGGAGAGAGTTTTTAGATTTTGACGTGCTTCGCGTTTCCGTATCCAGTGTAGCGCTTGCAACTGAGGATCAATGCAAAGCGGAAAACGAGAAGCGCGCACAGTTAATATGCCATTTTGTACAGAGAGTTCATCTGGTGGTAGACCCTCCGAGCTCCATGTGGAGACTTCAACGTCTGTTGTGAGACTGTCGTCGATGCGGAAGGGCGAGGGTACGGGAATCAAACGGTTTTGTACATCCTTTAGCCAGTCTCCAATAACCATGGCTGTGCGGAATTCCCAAGAAAATGCGCCAGTATAGGCGAGGAAAGAGGCACACAATAAACATTGTCCGATCATGTTGATTTTTTGTTTGCGGAAATTCTCCATATCCTCTGCCCAGCGACTGCGCTCAGAGCTCAAGCCGCTGATGAGTTTATTCGAAGCGATCTGGAATGGAAGAATGGCAGAGATTGGGAAGAAGTTAGACAGAGATAGAGCCTTATATTTAATAATAGAAATTTGATGTGTCGGCCTTGCAATTGCGGGCTCTGAAGTCGAGACTGTTTTCAAGGTATACGTGGAAAAGTAAACGTTGACGCTCGTGCTATTAAAATTCAGCGCATAAATATTTGACTAAGGTTAGTGATAGAACTACCGTTTGAAAAAAGAATTTTTTTCGAAATTTAGATTTAAAGAGTGAGATGGCAAGAATTTGTTCTATATATTGAATATAGCAGTGTGTTGTTTGTTAGCTAGGGAATATTAACCTTAACTGATTAAAAAAATGTCGATTTTTTTCAATGCAGTCAACAATTAGTCACAATTTCTTGACCGATATTCTTTCAGTCAAAAATAGCATTAAAAATTTTGATTTTATTTTTTCGATCAAAAATAAGAGTTAAATCTTTTCTAAATGATATTTATGATCAACAAATTAAAAGTCAAATAATAACCGTAATTTTTTAAAGAAATAATTACAGTTAAAATTTTACTTTTATTTTTGACCTAAAAAATTATAGTAAAATTTAAATATTATAAAATTGTAATTAGCCGATGTGTTTACATTATAGATATTAAAGAAAAATAAATATGGGAGGTCTTTATTAGAGCAACAGAAGCCAAATCAAAATTTTTAGAATTAATGTATGTCCCTCTGTATATTTGTACCTTCCTAACTCGAAAACTATTGCATGGAATTGAATTCAGAGTTCATCGCTCCGTTGCTAAAGGTCACATGTTTTAAATTTGCATTTAAAGTAAATTTCCAAGATAATGCAAATAGCACAGTATGGCTGTCAAAAGAGAGAGGTTTATGAAGGCTTACAGCAGAAAATATTTTTAAGGAAGGTTGCCATCTGTTTGAAAATTAAAATTTTATTTCATTGATTTATTGAATATTGCAATGTGGATATCGCACCAACTGAATCGGTCTGGAACTATTTTGGGGGAGGGTTCCCGAGTTAGAATACGTGAAGTTCAAAATCGCGGCAAGTGCCGATTTCAAAAACCGTAACTTTTTCGATTTTCTGCCGAAATTTTCGTTTTAAGTATAGTTTGACTAAGACTGTATATGCGTAATTTTTTAAATATCGAACCCTAACCGCCCAAATAACGTAAGCGACATTTTTTTCACAATTTTCTTCTTGAGGCAGAAATTTTCCTAAAGCATCCAGATGCATTTCTGCATCAAAAAGAAAATTTGGAAAAAAATTTCGCTTACGTTTTTGGCAGTCAGGGCTCGATATGTATGTATATACATGTATAGCCTGTGGGAATTTCGTAGTCGTCTACGACAATAGCCGCCAACTGTTGGTCCACTTAAAACGGCCAACTCTTATCTGGTTTCAAAAATTAAACATAAACAGTTATTACTTTACAGGTGTTCTTTTGTTAGTTAGTTTTTTTCATTTAATAATATAAACTTGTATTATCGTCCGGGGCCGGTACTAAATATGAGACGCCCCCCCCCCCTCCCCCCTAACCCTAGACATTTTTTATTAATTTAAACGAATTTCCAACGTTATCATCCATATTCAGGCCTTTTAAAAAATACCAAGTATTTTCGTAATATGTGGAGAATGTCCTTTTTTATTAGTTTTTCTATAAAGGCAGAATTTGTTTTGCTATACTGTTGTACGGATTAAGTGAATGCGTAAAATAGATTTTATTATTTTAGTCAAATGCCTTCCTTTAAGCTCAGATTGGCTGTATGCAATAAAATCGTCTACTGTTGATTTCTGATTTTCCCCTCGAATCTCTTTGAAGGTCGCTCTACAATTTCGAGCTCAAAATGTTTGATTAACCATGGGAAAATCATTGAGATGATAACATTTAGACAACACGTTTTGACTTCGGAACCTTTCTATGTTTCACATTAGGCCAGATTGGCGGTCGTTTTAACTAGCACGGAAATGACCTTACCACACCATGTGCATCTAGGCATGCGCTTTCGCATTTATTGGATATTATAAAAGCTATGTGAATATTAAATAATCAAATTTAACAAAATTTTATAATCTTTATCTTCCAAATAAATTTAAGGAAAAACCCGGACCGGGGGGGAAACCCCTCACCCTATAGTCGGGCCTGCACATAGATGTAATAAATATATATATAATCGACTTGTATATATGTAAATATATATAATCATTCGTCTAGAACCTTATCGAAAAGCTACCTGAAAATCGGAAAAGTTACCGTTTTTGAAATCGGCACTTGCCACGATTTTCAACTTCACGTATTTCAACTCGTGAACACTCCCCCAAAATAGTCTTATCGGAAATTCCATCGTTCCAGACCGATTCAGTTGAATCTGGTTCAAGGAAAGGACACCGTGACCAAAGAGGCTTAGGAAAGTTTACTGGCAAAAATATTTTTGAGGGGGGTTGCCACCTCTTTGAAAAATTTTATTCAATTATTAGATTGATAAAATAAAGTAAATATTACCATACGGGTATCAAACTAAAAAGGTTAAAGAAAGTTTACTGCAGAACAGATTTTTGAAGGGGGTTGCCACCTGTTGGCAAAATTTTATTCATATAGGTTAATATAACAATACTGGTGTTAAACGAACCTTCTTTCTGTGATTTTTACTGCGCCTCAAAGTTTGTCGCTGCAATCATTATGCCGCTAGAACAAAAAATTTTAAGTTTGAGCTCAGTGATGAGCTAAGTTTTGTGGCTCCGTTAGAATAGAGGGGTAAATGTGTTTTATTTTTTTACGAATGAGGCCATACGAGTTTTGGGAGGGAGTAAAAAAAAATATACTTTAAAGGCGCGGTAAAGCACGCCGGGTATATTTGCCAGTATAAAAATAAAATTTCAATTCTTAACTTTTGATCAAAAACATATCGATGAAAAATTATCGACTTTTTTGAAAAGAGCATAACAGTTAACGTCCCTGTTTAAGTTGAATAGCATACGCTTTTCATCTCTCTCTCTCTTCTTTCCTTACCAATCTACGTTCGGCCTGCCGCATCATTTCCGTCAGTGCCTTCATTTGTTTCATCGATTCCGCATAGCGGTGATTTAGCTGATCGAGCTGCCCTTCCAGCTTAACGATTTCTTGATTAAGATGATTCAGCAGCTTGATTTGTATTTCTTGCTCCTGCACCAAAAAGTCGACGCGGTCCTTTTTAGGCTTCACCTCGCGGTAAACTTCGTAGAAGGCAATCACGGCACGCACAAATTTCAAAAGTCCCGCACCTGCTATGGATATTTTATCCATGTCATCCAAATTCGAACCCTTCATGTGTGCACGACATGCATTTATCTGCTTAGCCGTTAGTGCTTCACAGTCCATTTCCATTAAACTCCTGAGGAAACTCACATCGGACATCATGCCTTTCGCAGACTTCCAATTGATCTCCTTGAGTCCCTTTAAAATAGCCACACATTCGCAAACAACTTGCACTTGCGGCGGTGGCGTAGCAAAAGAACGAATCTCAGTTATTTGCGCCTTGTCGAGATCGGCAAGCGCACGTCGCGCCTCCTCCAGTGCCGGCATAGCTTCGGCGAGCGCCTCTTCGGCATCCTCTTTTTCTATGGCGATTTGTTTACCCTTAATCTCGACTTCAATCGATTTTTCTGATGCCTCCGCTTTCTTCACGTTCGCCTTCTGTGTTGACTCTTCGATGTCCACCAACATAGCTTCGCACTCCTTCGATGCCTTGGCCACATTGGCTTTCTGCTCGCTGACGATCAAACGAAGTTCTTCGATCTGCTTGGCAGCATCATCGATCTTCGAAATGCCCTCCTTGAGGCGGTTGCGTTGCATGCTAATAAAGTTGTTGCGTTCCTCTAGAAAAAAGAACTCGCGAGAGAGTTAGTACATGGTTTGCTTTTGAATACAGAAAAGTATGTATGTAAGTACCTAGCAATCGTAAGTAGGTGTTGATGAAGTCCAGATAATGTTTCGGTGTGACATAATTGTTACGGCGCAGCTTGAGCAAATATTCGCGCGAGTACATTTGTATGGTGGTATGTACATGAACGACGTGATCTATAATAGCATCACGGTGCTCGACAGGAATCTAAAGAACAACACCGAGAAATGAAAATCAAAAGAAGAAAAAAAATCGATGTGTAGAAAATGTTAAATTTTCCATACCATCTGATGTTGCGAAAGGAAAAGCGTTGCGACGGCCGTTAAAGCTTGCTGTGGCCATGGAAATACCCAATCGATGTAAGTACTGCCAATTAGACCGGGGAAGTTTCGACATCTATTGCGAAGCGTTTCGCCGGATGGTGACATACACAGCGACACATGCAGATTTTCGGCACATGTACGCAAGAAGTATAACCAAACGGAGTCCCTAAGGCATTGCAAGAGTTAAGTGTAGTTTATGGTTTGGGTAATATCTTACTTGGAAGCCGTGTAGCCGGCTTCTTCTGCAGCTACGCGGCATGATGATACAACAGCATCCTTCTCGTCATCCGCAAAGAGTGCTGGCACTTGACCGATTGTCAGGATGTTGTTTATCAGCTCCAAGAAACCTTCTTCAACAATCTAGAAAATATATAGCTAGAGAATTCAAGTCTTTTGGTTTACTGAAAGCAAATTCTACTTGTGCGGCTGTGAAAAGGAAAACCGTCTTCTTGCGCTCAACGCCCACCATAGTGTAGAGTCGCTTAAGATCGTCACGGAATGTGGTTTCATTGTAGCCGCGCGCCACAGTTATTTCGAAAACCTCACATTCTAAATAGTATACAGAACAATAAGTAGTACATTAGAACAATTTTTCGTCTTCTCTCAGAAAATTTGTGCCCACCTGCTGCGAATGCTGATAAGCGTGTAATGCACTTCTTGCCACTGCCGCCTACGCCAATTACCATTACATGGCCGCGATGCATGCGCAAAGTGCGATGGACGCGCGTCAAATGCTCCAAACAATCTTCGAATAGCACCAGATTCATTTTGCCTCTGCGCTCTTGGTATTCTTCGAGTATCTAGCGAAAATTCAGATTGTACTTGCAGTTCAAAAACATATCAAAGAATGTTGTTTACCTCTTCGAAAAGTGCATGTACGGCACTGTAGTCTACCAAGTCCTCATAAAAACGCGGTTCAGATTCATTCATTGCATTTCGGAAATCTCCAAAGAGTAAAGGATCACGGAAAACGTAGTCGTGGAATGTTACAATCACTGGCTCCTCATCGGGATTCATTGCTAGTAGGTCTTGTTGTTCTATGAAAAGGAAAAGGAAAACACATCGAGGTAACTCCATCATCTTTAATTTTACACACATAAATAATATCAGTGAATAATTTTGCTTATTTCTGATAAGGATGGGTATGTAAATTTAAGGTAGACATTATAAAGTTAAGGCTTTATGTAAAGAAAAAAGAGTGTAACCAACGACGACAAAGAAAAACGCGAGACACTAGCACTTTTGCAGTATTTGAGAAGTTCTTTTTTTTTGTTTTTTTTTTTTACGGAAATAGGCACGTAAACTCCGCGGGTAACTATCTTGCTGTGGCCACTCACGCCTCTCTATAGAAAAAAAGTGCAGTTAGCATTATAAGGAAGGTCGGAAGTTAAAATTAAGCACCAGATGTAATAAGTGACATAGAACGTTTTGCAATATCACCGCCGATATGGGGATTACAGTTAATGTGTATCTGTTTTTCTTTTAGTAATCTCTGTATGTACATAAATATGAATGCATAACACGCGAAAACTTTTTCGTCGTATCAAATTAAAGGGCTTGGCCTATGGATGTGCAATAACTTCTTATTTTTTCAAAAAGAGTTGCCACCTGATAATTAAACTGAAATTATTCTTAAGTTAAATCAATTATTACACTGTGAGTATCGATCGAAATTGATTTCAAAAGGCTTTATTTCTTAATCATATGTGTAGAATTGGAAAAGAGGGCGAATAGGTATTGAAAATTTCCCTTCGAAATTGTATTCTTGAATTTCCAAAATTTATTTTTCAAAAAATTATACTTTAAGAAGCAATACAAACGACTTCACCTTCGAATTTCGCGCTTCTGACTTTATTGGCTTAGGAAAAAGAAAAAAAAAAATTAATTAAATGGGGCATTTTCAATGCCCATTCGTCCATGTGAAGCAGAATTTCCTCCCATTTGCTACCCATATTTTATTCTACATGGCGCGGAACTTTTAAAATAACTTTTTTCAATAATCACATCTCTGATATTTCAAAGTCTTTTCAAAAATCCTACACGTTTATAAAGAAAAGTAGTATATTGATAATTTCGTGTGTTTTAAAATATTCTGGTTTTTGTCGTACGGTGTAAGTTTTCATAGAGCGAAGTTAGTTTTTAAAATTTTCAAGACACTGTACTATATTCCTTAACTCATTTCTACTATTTAAGAAATGTCATCACGCACAAATCATTGTCGCTACTTACTTACCTTTAGCCACTGCATCTGGATCTATGAAACCGTAATCCTCCTCGAAACCCGGTGGGAATGTCTCATCCACCTCTCGTTCGATGTGCTTTCTCATTAAGTCGACATCCTAGAAGTTAGAGTAAATGATGTTGGATTTGTGACAACGAAGTGCCGAACGATGTTAACATGAAAAGAAAGCGTGTGTGTGTGCAATCTTCACTGCCAATAAGTTCGAAAGCATGTAACTAAGTTGATGTGAGTGTAATAATTTGTGGTATAAGTTGTAGTATACATGTATCGATATGTAGGTTCGTATGTTTTTTTTTGCAAGCGTTGCTGTAATTGATTACGTTGGTGCGTTGTTCGCTTTCGCCAACTGAACGCATTGTTATTCGACACTCACAGTCAGTACTGTTGGCAGTGCTCGGGAACAAAGCGCGCTGAAGCCAGATGCCAATCAATCTATGTTGTCGTTCAGGTGAAAATTACTCCTACCATTCGCAAACCGGGAGCACAGTAGGAACATTGACTGGCGCCGTGGGTATTGCTTTATTCTTGTCTCGTGTTTATTTACAAATTGTGCTTACATACATATCGATAAATGTAAATTTCTAGGTTTTGATTTTGTAAAAGCTCTGCAGGAGACAGACTACCATAGCTATGAATGTATCTGTGTATATAGAAATATATGTGTGTATGCATGTGTGCCTTCTTTGCGTCAAGTGCGTGTTACATACCCTGCAGGAATTTAGACTCACTCTAGGTTAGCCCTCAGATAGTCCGTATTTTTACCAGCACTAGTCCCTCACAATTCCCCTGCCAATGGTTTCAATTGCCATTTTTTGCACTGGCGTGTCATTGGAAAAGGATCGGTTCACTCAACACTGACCTGGACTAGTCCAGTTTTGGAGATTTTTTTCGTTGGAGTACGATTGCGTTTTGCACTTCACAGATGCTTTTTCATATTTTGGAAACCCAAAAAAATTTTTTTTTATCATTTTATAACCATATTGCCTCGGAGGGCATTTGAAAGCTAACAAATCAAGGCCAGACCAAGCGATTGGGACATTTATAGGGTGGTGTTCTTTAAATCTATTTTTTTTTATTGAATTGCAAGACAAGACCACTCTGTCACCGCCAAACTGTACTCTTCGTTTATCTCTAGACCGATGCCTTGGGACTGGTCGAAAGCTGACATTTTCGATGCAAGCAAATGTTTAATTCTGAACAGTCAAATATTAACCAGTGAAGAACAGAAAATTGGCCGCCTTATTACCGCAGGGTAGCTTTGTGTGCTCTCGTTTGCGTCTTTATTTGTTTAAGCATTCGTATTCAAATCGAATTCAAATTTTTAAATTGCAGTCAATTTAGCAGCAACGACACATCAATCAAATGTAAGCTGCCAAAGCTTCAATAATGTCTTCAACGTGTACAGATTGTTTGCGTACACCACTGGCAACAGGCGAAGCTAAAAGTGTAACGCATAGAAATGCGAAGTTCTCTGTCAGCTACACTGTAAAATGGGGGGTTTAGATGCTATACTCCTTGCACTGAAAATCCATGCAAATGGCTCATGTGGCTTTTAAAGAGAATTTCATAATACTTAATAGTAATGCATTTTTGTTTAAAATATAAATTTCCTTAGCCATAGCTGTTTGGTCAAGATTCAATGTGAATTATTTGTTTTCTGTCCTAAAATCTAAAGGGTAGCGTTATTTTAAAGCCAATTTACTACTGCGTATAAAACTACAAAGACTTAAAAACTCTTTTTAATTTTTTTTTAAGATGCTGCCAGCTGTTTAAATATTCAAAATCAACTTAATTAACGAGTTAAATAAAATATTTTACCATGTGTATCAAACGAGAAAGGTTTTTAGAAAGCTGTATTTATTTGCAATATATTTTTGACGAGCGTTGCCACCAGCTTAAGAACTTAAAATCAATTTATTTAGCAAATTATGTAAATGAAATCCTACTTATATTATAATTGTGTAGCGGTACTTGGATTAACATAAAGCACATTTTTGGAAGAGGGTAGCCAACTGCTGGAAAAGTAAATATTGTATGTTAAAATATAAGTTCAACGATGTTTTACAAGATAGATGCCAAATGAACGAAATTTATAAAAGCTTTATTATGAAAACATATTTAAGAGAATTGCCACCTATTTTAAAAATTAAAATCAATTTGATTAGTAAGCTAAATGAAGTATTACAATATGGGTGGCAAATGAATGAGGTTTAAGAGGGCATTCTTTTGAAAATATTTAGAAAAGCGTTGCCATCTTTTTAAAAGTCGCATTAAACTTAATCAGTAAGTTAAATGAAACAATACAAAATTATGCCAACTCAAACCAAAGATGTTCGGAAATGCTTCTAACAGTCAAATTATATTTAATCTGCTACTTTAGTCTAAGTGATTTTGGCCGATTTCAGCAGAGCATGCCAGTCGTTTCTTTTCTGTTCCAAATGCATACTTCAGGTTATAAAATACGTAAACGTACTGCTCGTTTCGTAATTCCGTTTGGTGACATTCGTGATCGTACTATTTCGTTCGAATGGGAAATATACTAGAAAATAACACAAATGAGAAATGACGCTCACAGGTGGCCCATTTTTTGGCCACTTCAGTAATGTTTCAGAGTAAATATTAATTAATTTTCAGTCGCTTAGCTTCAAGGGCTTCTACGATGACTGCTAATCCCCAAAAATCACTGATGGCAATAATATAAACTCCTTTTCTTGACCAGTATTGGCTATATTTCTCCTTTTTTATTTAATAACTATTTGTTTTTTTTATAAATGTCTAGCTCGTTATACATATAACACCGTGCGATAGTATATAGTAAATATAGTAAAATTGCGTTTTTAGTTTTTCATTCAGTAATTCAAAAAGGATTTAAAAAATTCAGAGAAATGTGCTTAGAGAAAAAAATATGGGTATCATATTAAAGAGGAAATTCTGCAGAGTTTAAGAAGATTAAATTTTATGATGAATAATTAATTTTATTTAATAATCTAATTTAATAATTTTAAAATTTTATCCCCGAAATTTCGCAATGTTTGTTTTTGAAAAAATTATATGTTAAGACTTATATAAACTCGATAACATCCTCGAATTTGGTCCTTTTAACTTTATCAGCTAAAAAAATTACCTATTCGTCCTTGTGAATCCAAATAAAATTTAATTATTTTAAATTCTGAAAAAATGTCTTCTTTAATTTGGTATCCATCTTTTTATTCTACATTGCACTGAATTTTTTAAATAATTTTTGGAATTCATCATATCTTTGAAATAACAATATCCTTTAAAATAAATACTGACGCCAGAGAGAAAAAATATGAACGCCTCTTTAAATAAAAACGTAGGTTTCAAACCCATTTATTTAGCAATTTTTTCGATTCAAGTTGTTGAAAAGTAATGAATATATAAATCCCGGGACCAATCTCGCTATCCTAGTATTGTTATAACGACATCCTGGGATCGTAAAAAGCGAAAAAAGTAACTTCCCTAGCCTCTACCTCTTTAATTTTGCAACACTATTGTATCCTTTTGTTCTAATCAAGGCATAAAAAACGGGTGGTAGCATTAGAGCAAAGGCATTTACGCGCATTTTGCTGTTGCTTCTGGTATCTAATAGAGTGTTTACATGAAGCGAATTAACCTGCAGCTTTTCGTTGAAAGCAACAATAACTTGGTGTAAGCGGCTCTTCTGCTAATCACTTCCAACGAAGTTGGGTGGCAGCCAAGTTTTGATGCAACTAATCGCCTCTTGTAAACAACGTACCTCGAAAGTGTCTACTTTTATAAATATCATAGTGTGCGATGTAAAAAAAACAAAAAAAAAATTAAAAATTAAAGAAGTCAATACATCTTTTGCAGGTCCCAATAACACCGGATCACAAATTAGTGTTTTTTCCAAGTATGCTACTATCCAATTCCAACTTATCGCTAGCTTAGAGTGAAAAGTTGATAAGTCCACTTTTTAAGAAAACTCAATTTTTGGTATAGGAAGCAAGGGATATTAAAAATGCATCGTTTCGAAAAGTATTAAGGTATGTACTTGTTTTTAACCGACTTGAAAAAAAGTAGGAGGTTATTAATTCGCCGGAATGTTTTTTTTCTGTATGTTACCACATAGCTTTGAACCACGTTAACTGATTTGTATTTGATCATAAAGAAATTAACGTAAACATATCGAAAACCTATCCATAGAAACAAAAAAAAATTGACTCGATTTTCAGAATCAACGAGCAATTCTAAGTCGGAATTGGAAAGTGGCATCCATGGAACATTTTTGCTGTAAACCAGTGCGTTAAGCAAACGTTCCAAAGGCTTGTTTTCAATCGTTTTTTTTTTTTTGTAAACTCACATGCACATACATGTTGTCAATTAAGAATTTTTGTGAAAAAATAAACAAGATTTAACAGTTTAAAGACCAAATAATTAAAAACAATATCCACTGCTCTACTGCTACTACCCGTTTAATATGCCTTGGTAGTAATAAAATTTGCTATGCCAAACTTTCACCTCAGCTAGCGATGTGTCAGTTCTAGACTAGTAAACTAAAACTTAACTTTTACTCTTAGGCAAGTTCATTAAAACTTTTATTGCTGTACTCATCATTTTATGCCACACTGTATGTACATATTTTTCGCCAAAAACACCATTTTATCGCAACTCTAATTGAGTGTTTAAAGTGACGGGTATACCCATGTTGCTGTGCGTTTCGTATATCTATTTATGTGCTTTTATAACACGCAAATCATAGCCTCTCTATATGTGCATGGTATGTGTAACTGTGAAGCATAAATTGAATGAACTTACATTATCCGAAATTAATCGATCGCAAATAATTCTGGAAAATTCATTACGCCAAACGCGTATCAAGTCACGCAGGTCATGAAAGTAGTTCGAATGAATCAATAGCATGCCGGCGAAGATGCGCGACAGATCCTTCAAGTTGAAGATATAATGGAATTTCGATGGTGTTGGCGGCAATTCCACAATAACAACCTATAAGTAAAAGTAGAAATTTTCAATTAAATGAAATGAAAGTAAGTATTTGCAACGCATACATACATTTGTACATGCATACATATACATAAATGTGGTTGTGCTAATGCTTAAGTGGTGTATGTGCGCACTCTGCATGCAAATGACAAAATGGGCATGCAAGAAAAGCATAAAAAAAAAAAAAAATTTAAACACCCAAAAGTATAGTACCATCAAAAAAAAAGAGAGCAAAAAGTGGCAATAATATTCAGAAATTCTTAGATTTATTTGGTGCCAACTAAGCGTGCGCATTCAAAGCTTCGCTGCCTCGCATTTACGTTTGCGGTAAATTAAATTTGTCTTCAAACGTTAAATGGCATACAAATCAAAATTATCGCAGTTTCCAATATGCATTGAAATTTGTGTGGTACAGTCATCCTGCAGTGGCATACATGCAGTGGCAAGCGGCGAAGGATATCTTGCTCCTAGTAGCTATGGTAGCCTGTCTGTATGAGTGTGTGTGTGTGTGTGATAGCCGTAGGAAGTGAAATTTAGTTGAGGAAAGAACGTAATAGTTATTCAGGCTCTCATTTATGCCGCATTTAACGCTTCATCATTCCCTTATGCAGTTAGAAAGCTACAGGAGAGCGTCGTCAAGGCAAGCGGGTAAGGTAAGCAGAGGTTGGGAGACGGTAAGTGTGAAATTCTATGACTAACGTTTCTGTTATTCAAATAATTCATTTCACCAGGCTTTTTGCTAATGCAACTAATGCAAAGGAAGCGGAGCCAACTTATGAAGAAGAAGGCTTTGTTGAGAGAGGAAGATTGTGTAGGATGTTCCCAATATCGGTTTTAAAATAGAGCTGTATACACAAATGACAGTCTCAGAGCTTAAGACTCTTGAAGAAGATTTTCGAACCATGAGTCTCTCTCCATTTCCCCTCAGGGTGATGGCAGAGATTTCTTAGCCCACTGATTACGCGGTGCCTCTCTTCCAAAAATTTCAGCAATGCTCAATATGCCTGCCCGCAAAAGACCACATGACCGCCTTGTTCGGAGGTCCACATAACGATTTCTGTAGAAGCTGTAAAGATGAGGAAAAGACGGAATTTTTCCAGCACTTCTTATGCGAGGGCCCCTCAAATCGCTCAAGTTCCGATTACAGCAAAGATAAAGGACAGAACAAGTGTGGGGGCTCTAGGTATACTGTCATTTATAGTTACAATTTCAGAAAGCAAGCAATAATCAGGGCCTTTTACAAAATGAAGAACAGTTTTAAGGCTTTCAGAAACTCGGTATCACTGCGCTGGATGCCGGGAAATTGAGCGATCGAAGGAAGGGAAGATTCATCGTCTGTACCAGAGATCTGTAGTGGGCCTAAGGCAGGACAAGCCAACGCTTATCTTCTCGATAAAAAGGAAATACAACTTTTGAAAAAAGTGCATTCTTTTGCAGTACTTTGCATTTTTTTTTCAGGGACCATGAACGCATTCCGGTTTTGGTTTAGCTCTGCATTAGAACAAAAGGTAATACGAAAGAATGTGAACAAAATTCTCGGGAACATTCTCAAGAAGAACAGAACGAGAACGAAAGTTTCGGGAATGTTTTCGTTGAGAACGAAAGTACCGAGCACATTTCAAGCAGCATCAAATCGACAGAAATTACTATGATTGATCGGTACCCGATTATTAAAAAAGCGTCCCTTAATTATAACACACCGTTGCCATTATCGGCCGCAGTAGAAAGGCTTTTTTCGTTTGCTTCATTGCTGAATACCCGCGTGGCACGCTTTCTGACAAAACTTTCGAAAAATCGCTGTTGCTGAAAGTAAACGGAGCTTTTTATTTTTAACCGACTTCCAGAAAAGGAGGAGGTTACAACATCGTCGGACTTCTTTTTTATGTATGTTACCACATAACTTTGGACCACGTAAACCGATTTCGACAATTCTTTTTGCTTCGGAAAGGTAGTGTCTCAGAGGTAGTCTCATACTAGTCATACACTTCTAACCAGCTTATTAAGCCAGCAACATTTTTACAAATTTTGGCTATTTTGCTTTCGTTTATTTAATGTTTATTATTTTTCGATAAAAGTTTACGTCATTATATAACAAACACCATATAAATCCAGATTTCAAACTTTGTGCAAAGATTATGAAAAATCTGCAAAGTTTCAGCTAAAGTTTCAACTTTTTATTCAGTTATTTTAGATTTTCTTTGGTTTAATAACCCATTAAATTCTAAGTTGCTAAAAAATCGCGTTGATTTTTAATAATTTATTTTCCGGCTGCATTACAAATTTTTTTCCATACAAAATAAATTCGAAAATTTTTTTTGTATGAAAAACAAATGCGTCATGAAGTCTGAAAAAAATTAATAAAAAACAGCACGTTTTTAAGCAACTTATTACTACCCTAGAATTTAATGTGCTATACCCAAAAAAATCTGAATAAAAAGTTGAAATTGTAGCTGAAACTTTGCAGATTTATCATAATTTTTGCACAAAGTTTGAAATCTGGATTTATATGGTGTTTGTTATATAATGAGCTAGACTTTTATGGAAAAATAATAAACATTAAATAAGCAAAAGTAAAATAGCCAAAATTTATCAAAATATTGTTGGCTTAATTAGCTGATTACAAGTGTATATATATTTTTTTATATGAGAATTGAAATCGTTTTTTTTTTGCTAAAAATTACTTGTCATATTTTATTTTTGACACCTTTTTATTTTTTTATTTATATAATATGTACACTGCCGGCAAAAAGTATTGGCACGGCAAATTTTTCACAATATATGCAAACATTTTTTTTCTAATATTTTTCTTCCAATTTTTTATAAAAATATGGTTCGTTCTACAACAAAACACATAAAAATATAATTGCTAAACCTTGTGTAAAACTCACGAAAATTCAGAAAATTTTCATGCAAATTTTCAACTTTTTAATCAGGAAGTTTAGGAATTATATATTTAGTTTTTTTTTGTGGAATGAACCAAATTTTATAAAAAATTAGCCGAAAAATATCAGAAAAAAAAAATTATTGCATATATTCAGAAAAATTTACTGGGCCAATACTTTTTGCCGGCTGTGTACATATTATCAATAAAAATTTATCTATTGGAAGTCTCTGAAACTCATTGCCATTTTCTAAATATTTGTTTTGGTTATTTTTTTGGCCTTATAACAATTATATTCAACAATTTATATTGAGCTCGAGGCCGTTTTTTAAATGGAAATTTATTGGGGAAAAGCAACAATAATTGGAAAAAATGGTAGAAGTGATAGCTATTTCGGAAATCACCACATTTCCTCATTAGACTTCTTTCAGTAGGATTCGAACCGACGATCCCACTAACTCAGCCAGTTGCCTATGCACCGTGCTAAGTACGCCTTGTAAATTATCGTTTGCTTTTTTCCACTATTTTCACTTTTGTTATGCCAACACAATCAAGCGCAGCTATTCCGCTGCAATTCACTTGATCATGTGGTTGTCCTACTGAAAGAAGTCTGATGAGGAAATGTGGTGATTTCCGAAATAGCTATCACTTCTACAATTTTTTTCAAATTATTGTTGCTTTTCCACAATAAATTTTCATTTAAAAAACGGCCTCGAGCTCAATATAAATTGTTGAATTTTCTAAATATTTTATATACTACTGGAGTAGTATTTAAGCTTTTTGTGTACTCATTTATTTTCTGAACAAATAAGTATTATAATTTTATATTTTAGAATTTCATTATTCACCTTAGACTGCAAAAATTAGTAATTAGTCATGAATAACAGAAAAGAATAATGATTTGAACTTTGCAGTCTTTGTTCAAACATGTGATTGATTGGCTGCAGTTAAAAAATTAATGTGACTGCAAGGATTTAAAGTCACGATGACTGCATTCTTTAACACCTCTGCAAATACCTCAGTCTGGAAAACCGAAGCATACTCCCCAAGAGAGAAGTGAAGCTTATCCCCATTAACTTCGATGAAGACCCCAGAGCCTGACCCAAAGTCAGCTTTGAAGCCATCAATAAAGAATCCACAGTGTGTGAGTTTGGGCTCAGTGCTGACATTAAACCAACATTCTGCCTTAGGGAATTCAAGATTAGATAGAATCTCTTCAACAAAGACAATGGTGGGTTACTATCCTGTGGCATTGAAAAGACACAAGTGTCCAGATCTTTGGCATCAAGAGCAGCGCCAGGTGTTATAGAGAAAGCTCCCGTACAGCACACGGCAATAGTTCTTTGAAGTTGTGCTCTAGTATGTAAGTATATGTACATATGTATAGAGCCTTAACGTAAGTGACATTTTTTCGAAATTTTATTTTTGAAACAGAAATGCATCTAGATGCTCTAGGAACACTTCTGCATCAAGAAGAAAAAATTAAAAAAATATATATGTATATCTCTTACGTATTTTTGGCGGTTAGTGCTCGATATGTATGTGTAAGTTTGTACCATAGAAAGCAGTGTAATTTAAAGCTCCAATTACATTTATTGCGTTCTCATTGACCTACTCTTTATGATGATTCAATGATTAGGCCAATTAAATAGTAATTTCATCAATATAGAAATATTAAAAGACAATACTTAAATTTAACGATCAAAGCGAAATTTAATTGAGTAGGTTAAATCAGCAGTAAATGCAATTATTTTGCGTAATCTCAGATTTACGTTGAGACTCAAACCGGCCATGCAGTCTGCCATTGAACCACTCGCTCGCACTCCGACCCAGCAAAGAGCTTTGCAAATCCCAACTGTGGCAAGTGCACCAGACGCCGAGGCAATCGTCGTCTCCTAACGTAGCGACAGAGAAAATGCATTTACGTATATCTACTACAACGCAATGAAATGTGATAATATTTTAGTGTCAACAATTGTTAAAACTACCATAAACTAATGCAATTCCAATGTGCGCTCCTTTCGGAATTACAGATGGCGATGGCGATGGCGATGGCGCTGTCACTATCTCTTTCCATTGAAATCTGCGGCTGGTTAAGCTGGCTGGTGGAGTATTATGTTGG